CAAAAAAAAAAAAAAAAATTAAGCCATACATTAAAGTATGGTTTCATATTCTATTATATTATTTTGTTTAATGGTTATCAAATGTCAAAATACACACAGGATCAGAATCGACACTAAGACTTGTTTCTAAGATTTTTGTACTGTAAAACCACCTCTATTTACTAATGAATAACAAGTGCTGTTTGACTCTTTTCCTAACAGAGAACACAGTATAGACAAATATCATAAAAAGTAGCTTACTGTCTGCAAAAACAGATAGCTATTTCTGACATCACAGAGACTACAGAAAAATAATTTGTGACCTAAACAATTTTCGAAACTATGAACAAGTCAGTCTCCACAGGAAAACTAACCTATTCCCTTCACAAATCCTTTTTCCTAAGTACTATATATAAAAGACTCTTTCAGTATCATTTTTTTCTAGTTAAAGAAACCCTTCACACTACAGATACCAGTCACCTTTACCTTGATGGGTTTAGTTTAGAAACTTCTCATAATTCCAATAACCATATTTCATCTTTCCAAATGACAGACTCTCATTTTACCAGGGCACTGGGTTTCATGGGAATGCCTACTTTTTTTTTTTTTTTTTGAGAGAGACTCTTGCTTTGTTGCCCAGGCTAGAGTTAGTGCCTTGGTATAAGCCTAGCTCACAGCAACCTCAAACTCCTGGGCTCAAGCAATCCTGCTGCCTCAGCCTCCCAAGTAGCTGGGACTACAGGCATGCACCACCATGCCCAGCTAATTTTTTCTGTATGTATTAGTTGGCCGATTAATTTCTTTCTATTTATAGTAGAGATGGGGTCTCGCTCCTGTTCAGGCTGTTTTCAAACTCCTGATCTCGAGCAATCCACCCGCCTCGGCCTCCCAGAGTGCTAGGATTACAGGCATGAGCCACCGCGCCTGGCCGGAACACCTACTTTTAACATGAGATATTCATCCTCAGCACCCAGCATTTACTATGAGGTTCCTATGTACCAAGTACTGCCTAAAGCACTACACAAAGGATCTCATTTACTGTCTTACAACACTATAATAAATAATTTGGCTGGTCATTGTCCCTGGTTCTTGGGAGGTCATTTCTAAACCCTCAGAATGTGATAGGAGTGTCTTTGTTATCCTCACCCACACTCCCACATCTGATAGTTTAGGCTAAAGAAATGACAAAGTGGGAGCTGAATGGTATGATTAGAGGATTTGGGCTTTGAGCCATGTAATACCAGCCCAGCCTAGCCTCTGGGAAGGAAAAGGGGAGCTGAAGATTGAATCATATAGGCACTGATTTAATCAATCAATCCTGCATAATGAGACCAGAATAAAAACTCTGGACATTAAAACCTGGGTGACCTTCCCTGCTGGCAATATTGTTTATGCTGTCATAAATCAAAACATGCCAGGAGGGTATTGTGTCCCTGAGGACAATGAAGACCTCCCATTTGCAACTCTTGTCCTATGTGTCTCTTCCCTTTGGCTGGGTCTGACTTGTACCCTTTGCTACAATAAAACTTTAACTGTAAGTACAGTTGGCCCTCCATATCTGTGGGTTCCACCTCAACAGTTCAATCAATTGCAGACTGAAAATACTTGAGGAAAAAAAAAAAAAAAAAGGATAGCTGCATCCATACTGAATACGCAGACTTTTTCTTGTCATTATTCCCTAATATGGTATAATAACTACTTACATAGCATTTACATCATATTAGGTGTTATAAGTAATCTAGAGATGATCTAAAGCACATGGGATAATGCATACAGGTTATAAGCAAATACACCATTTTACAAAAAGGAAGTGATTTCTATGATATCTAAGGAAGGTCTTGGAATTGATGCCTCCTTGGATACCAAGGGATGACTGTATAGCTTTTTTCTGAGTTCTCTGAGTTTTTCTAGTGAATTAATTACCCAACCTAATGTAGTTTATGGAGATGTCTGAATTTGTAACCAGTTGATCAGATATGAGGGTAGCCCTGGGGATCTCCAAACTTCCAACTGTAACTGAAGTAAGGACAGTTTTGTGGAAGAATTGTGCCCTTAACCTCAAGGTTAGCCAATTTCAGATAACAATCATACTATTAATAGTATTACCCCCAATTCACCATTGAAGTGGAAGGTCCCACATTTATTTTAACCAATGAAAGTCACTACCACATACATAAATGCATGGTTTTATGTTTGTTGAGCACCTTCTAGGCACCAGATTTAATACTAATCATTTTATGTGTGATCATGTTTAATCCTTCCATAAACCTCTAAGATAATCAGTATCTTGAGGAAACTGAGGCTCAGAGTGGTTAAGTGACTTACCTGAGCCATCCTGGGGCTCACTTCATGAATTTCCCTTCTCTTAGTTATTGTTATTGTGGTATTGTGCTGCCTGCTGTTCACTTGTTCAATAGTTGCCCTCATGCCTTTCATCTGGTTTTATGAACGTTTATAGTGGGGGAGGAGCTGGTTCAGTACCAGTTATCCTGTTATAACCAGAAGTAGACTCGGGCAGACAAGTAACCTGAGGTAGGGGGAGATATTTCATATCTAAAGATCCTACTAAGGCCCAAGTTTGGACCAGACTCTTCAAAAAAATTAAATTTCTAAAGTTTGATTTCTTCAACCAAAAGAATGGTTGCAAACATGGGAATGATCAAATAAGTCTGTATCTTAAGGATAATGAAAATCAAGTCTCCTCCTGTCAGAGAAGAGTTATAAATATGCAATGGAATAAAAGTAGGGAAAAACTCTATGGTGTTGGGTTGGAACTAGAGAGATCACTACAAATGTGTGATTTTTATTATCTATTTCAATGAGTTATATAGATAAATATAAAATAAATATAGAAGCTCTTTGGCAAAATGGTTGATTTCAAGGCCGGGGCACAGAAAAGCCCAAGATGTACCTGGGATATCTTGTTGTATCAGAAGGAAAGGAAGTGTTCAAAGAATGATGGGGATATGAAAAAGAGTAAAGACAGCTTGAAGGGGCTCCTACAGGCCAAATCTAGGACAATTTGAGCATGAGAATAATGTGACTCCAGGAATAGATACTAATATACATAAATAAAATAAAAAGTTTGATAAGGAAGAGGACATTTAATAGTCTTGAAGTACTTCCCCCTAAAATACTTATTGATTATGTAGGGGAGAATGACTAGTTATAGAACAAATGAAAATCATATGCCACATGATAGATTGATTATGTAGGGGAGAAGAATGAAGGTATAGAACAAATGAAAATCATACGCCACATGATAGAGCTGAAACACATGACATCTGTGGTAATCCTGCCACAGATGCAACTCGAATCTACTCATGAGTATCAGACAAACGGAAATTGAGGAACAATTACAAAATAATTGGTCCGTAATATTCAAAAGTGTCAAGATCATGAAAGTCACAAAAAAACTGAGAAAGTGTTCCAGATTGAAGATTAAAAGACATACAAATGCATGATTTGGAACTACATCCTTTTGGTACAAAAGACATTATTGGAACAACTGAATTTCAATCTACCTATAAATCATGAGGTTCTATAGCTATTGCTCCAACCATCAATAAAATACTCAGAGGTTTTTGTAATGACAAAGAAAAAACTAGACTTAATAGTCTTTCAATATATAAAATGATCTTGATTGATATTCTAACCATGCTGATAAAGAAAAACTACCATAGACAGGCAGAAGCCTTCACCAAAAGTACTTTATCAAATTTAAATTTCATAGGAAAAAATTTTAAGGGGAAAAAAAAGTTAATGCCTCCATCAACAGGACATCCACACAATGAAGTATTACGTAGCTACTAAGCTGATATGAAAAGATGCCAAGCTTTGGTTAAATGGAGAAAGGAAAATTCAGCCCAGTTTGTGTCACATATTCTCATTTGTATGTATATGTGATTAGATGTATGTTTAAGATATCCATATATTAATATATTGGCCTATGTATGCAAACAAAATTTCCAGAAGAATACATGAGAATATATTAACAATGATTAATTCTGGGAACTAGGGGGACAGGGCCCTTCACTCTCTATCTTACACTCTTGTATACTCAATTTTCACCAAGGAAAAAACAGGCCTTCCAGTAGGAATAAATACATATATAGCACCCAGATCTTGCTTTCTAACTACCATTCCCAACTGAAAAGAAAATCTCTAGAGAAATAGCTGATTCTATGTATGAGTCAGAGTACAAAGTGAGCTGTGGACATCTTCTTGTGTCCAAAAGGAAAGAAGCACCCAAAAACTAATGAAGGCACATGAAAAGGACAAAGAAGCCAGTGTGATGGGGCTCCCACTAGCCAAATTTGGAACAATATGAACATCAAAAAGAATCACTGTAACAAAAAAGATATCAAGAAAAGAATATGATTACTGCCAAGAGTCAAAATAGCAGTTCCTTCATAATTGAAGAAGAAAGAAAGCAAAGAGTCACATGGTGGGCTTCTAGAATGCTGCTGACAATCTATTTCTTGATCTGGAAAATAATTACATGAATGTTCATTTTATAATCATTTACCAAATGGTATATATTTAGTATGGACTTTTTAAATATATATATTTCAGAAGGTTTCAGGTGGAAAAAAGAGGTCAAGTAAAAACAAGAGGCTTTTAGAAAGAAAATTATCATATTTTACCTGCAAGAGTATGTAGGTTCTCCTACTTTAAAAACACGTCCACAAAGATGAGAAGGTTTGTTTGCTTGTTCAAGCTTTGGAAATCCAAATGCAGGATCTTCACCACAAAGGTACCATTCCATCGGTCCCAACAAAAGATGCTGTGCCAGCATGTCTTCTTTCTGTGGAGAAGGGTTGGGACCCCTGCAGTAGATTTTGGGTACATAGTAGGCTAAATGCTGGTACACTTCTCTAGTGAGGTCAGTTGCTTGCAGCCATTTCTTTAAAAAAGAAAAAAGAAAAAAATAGTTTTAATCTATGAAAATACCAACTATTTTAGAATTCTACCTTAAAGTATAAGTAAAATTAAAATGAAACAAGCCCCTTCCTCAAAGTGAGTCCTAAAGCAACCTTCTATAGGTAGTACAAGAAACTGACTACAAGAAATCATTACATAAGACACTAGCCACTGAGCTTATCTGAATTCCTTTCTAATGCTTTGCTCAAATGTGTGATATGGATTCTCATGCCAGTTTGTCCACAGGAAGAGCATGCAGTGTACATGATCGATACAATAGTTATGTTTCTCACTGATTGATAAATGAGTCTATATATCACTCTTTTATGAATCTGTCAGTCCAAAAGAAACTTTTTCTATCAATTATGCCTTCTTTCCCTGATCAACCTCTCTCTATAAGTCCTTTTCCTTGTGCTCTCCCTACTAAAAACAAATGCTACTTTTCTCTGACCCTCTAAGCCTTTATGTTCAATTACTTGTTAAAATTGCACTTAGATATCTCATAGGCACCAACTCAATACATCCAAAACTCAACTCATGATCTTGTCCACACCCCCCACCAAAATCTGTTATTCTCCCCATTTCTCTATTTCAGCTCTACCTGGGTTATCCACACCAGAAAACCTGAAAATCTTTCTTCTTCCTCACCCCAACATCCACATCACGTCTTATCTGTTAGGCTTCCTAAATATCTCCAGAATCCATCCATTTCTGTCTCCACAGCCACTGCCTCCACTACCCTAGTCCAAATTTCTCACTCCTATCACCAGGATTAGTACAATAATGCCCTAACTGGTGTCCCCATTAGATTTTCCCCTCTCTGCAATCAATTTTCCAACTTTACTACCAGAATGATTTTTACAAAATGCCAACCTGATCATGTCATTTAGCTTCCCATTACATTTAGGATCAAGTACCTGATATGTCTTTTGAGGTCCTTTGTCTTTATAGACTCTTTAGTCTTCTCCTAAGATCTGTATTACTCCTCTCTCTGCTTTACAAAGCTATTTTCCACTCATTCTTCAGATTTCAAATTATGTTTCACTTTTTCTAAGATGCTTTCTCAGACATTCCCTACCCCTACCCCTCTTTCCCATATTCCTAGGTCTAAAACAGAACCTGGCCTCAGCAAGCATTTAGTAAAATCTGTTAAGTGAACTGTTAAGTGACTATAAATTTGTTTATACTACTTATTGTCACATAACATTGATACTCCAGAGATATTCCATGTGGCTTTAATGAAAGCAGAGATAGAGGAGATCTAAGCCTGCAGCATGGATCAGATATCAGTCTCTAAAAATGAAACCAAATAAGCCCTAGATGAAGCACCCTTCAAACCACCCCCTTTCTTTTTCCCTTTCTATTTCCTTAAGTCTTAAGTCTTTTCCCTTTATTCTCTCATTCCTCCTTGCCTCCTCTGCCAACTCTATGTGTTTATTTGTTCTACATACTTCTTTGTGTAATCACAAGTCATTTTGGCTCAAATAAAAATTAAAAAATTTGGAAACATGAAATAAAATGACTCACATCTACTACAATGTAGTTAACTGAACTGCTAACTCATAAATCCAAGATTTACAGATTACAAAGGTCCAGTTACATCTTTGTTTAAAAAAAAAAGGTACGTTCAATTGATACATAATACTGTAAGAAGTCAGTATAAGGTCTTCATGTTGGTTATTACTTGTACATTCTTCAACCCACTTCCCTCCTTCTAAAAATAACATACAGGCTGGGCGCGGTGGCTCACACCTGTAATCCTAGCACTCTGGGAGGCCAAGGCAGGCGGATTGCTCGAGGTTAGGAGTTTGAAACCAGCCTGAGCAAGAGCGAGACCCCGTCTCTATTATAAATAGAAAGAAACTAATTAGCCAAGTAATATATATAGAAAAAATTAGCCAGGCATGGTGGCACATGCCTGTAGTCCCAGCTACTTGGGAGGCTGAGGCAGCAGGATTGCTTGAGCCCAGGAGTTTGAGGTTGCTGTGAGCGAGGCTGACGCCACGGCACTCACTCTAGCCTGGGCAACAAAGTGAGACTCTGTCTCAAAAAAAAAAAAAAAAAAAAAAAAATTCAGAAGCTAGTATCACCTCTGGTTAAGAAAAAGAAATCAATCACCATATATAAAACATTATTAGTAAAACAAGTATTTCATTCTAAATATTGTTTTATTAAATATTATAAATTATTAAAAAAACAAAAATCTGGTTCAGGAAAGGCAAGCATATGTTCCTCATCTTTAAAAAGTTTAATACAATTATATGAAAAATTCAAAACCACCTAACTACCACAGGCACTTTAACCTTATTAAACTTACATACTTAATATATAAAGTTCTCAAAATAATGAAATCTACAGTTTTTCATATTAGTTCTCACTAACATATGCTAACTGTAACTTTCTTCAACACAAAAAATTACTGATATTTCTAATTTGGTTACATTTTAATTTGTCCTTATTTCAGACACGTGTAGCTGACATGTATGTGCACAAGAGAGTAATAAACATTCACTATCTTATTAGTAAGTCCCTCACAAGGGAAGTAAAGAAACTGTCAACTCATTCCTCTAAAGTAAACATGTTATGACAATGTTCCTGGAGCTTTCCTTTTACTGAATGCTAAATTGAAGGCTTGGAATAGAAAGCTGGTATTATACAATAAACACAAAAATGAAAGACTCCCTAGAGGTTAGCCTTTTATTACTATATCTGATTACTATTCTATACCAAATTAAAATTGTATCCTTTAACCATGTTTGGTTTTGCTTTCAAACAAAGATAAGCAATATGTAAATTAATCATAAAACAACAATCACTAGTGCTCAAAGGAGTTTTCAGGACTATATAGAGAAAAAAAATAAATTTTATTAAGAGCTCTACAAATGAAGGAAAGCACTTACAAATAAAAATAACATAGAAACCTAATAGACAAAAAGCCTAATTAAAAATTGGCAAAGAAGACATACAAATGGGTGGGTGGGGGTGGCTCACGCCTATAATCCTAACACCCCGGGAGGCCGAGGCAGGTGGATCAGTTAAGCTCAGGAGTTCGAGACCAACCTGAGCAAGAGCGAGACCCCATCTCTACTAATAAATAGAAATTATTATTTTTTGTAGTTGTCCAGCTATATATATATATATAAATAAAATGTTAGCGGGCATGGTGGTGCATGCTTGTAGCCCCAGCTACCTGGGAGGCTAAGGCAGAAGGATCGCTTGAGCCCAGGAGTTTGAGGTTGCTGTGAGCTAGGCTGATGCCACAGCATTCTATCCCCCCACCCCCCCAAAAAGAAGATATACAAATGGTCAATAAGCTCATGAAAAGATGTTCAACATCATGAGTCATGAGGGAAATGCAAATCAAAACCACAATGAGAAAGCACTTCACACCCAACAGAATGGCTATAATCAAAAACACGGGCAATAGCAAGTGTTGGCAGGGATGTAGAGAAACTGGAACCCTCATACACTGCTGGTAGTAATGTAAAATGATGCAGCTGCTTTGGAAAAGTCTGGCAGTTCCTCAAAGGAGTTAACATATGACCCAGAATTTCCACCTCCAGATATATACCCAAGAGAAACAAAAACATATGTCCACACAAAAATTTGTACATGAATGTTCATAGCAGCATGATTCATAATACCTAGAAAGTGGAAACAAACCAAATATCCTTCAACTCATGAATGGATAAATTAAATGAGGTATATCCATATAATGGAATATCATTTGGCAATAAAAAAGAGTGAAGAGGTCTGGCATGGTGGCTCACACCTGCAATCCTAGCACTTAGGGAGGCTGAAGATTTTGTTTGAGGCCAGGAGTTCAAAAACAGCCTGGGAATTAGTGAGATCCAGCCTCTACAAAAAATATAAAAATTAGCTCAGCATGGTGGAGTGTGCCTATAGTCCCAGCTACTCAAGAGGCCTTGTTTGAGAGGATTGTTTGAGCCCAGGAGTTTGAGTTCCAGCGAGCTATGATGATGCCACTGCACCCAACCACAGCAACAGACAGAGACACTCTCTCAAAAAAAAAAAAAAAAGGAAGATAATTTTCTGTCAAATACTACAATGTGGATGAACCTTGAAAACATTATGCTAAGTGACCTAGGCTGACGCCATGGCAAATATTCTAGCCTTGGCCATTTATACACACACAGTCTCAAAAAAAAAAAAAAAAAAAAAAAGGAAAAAAAGAAAAGGATGAACAGGAAATGCTCATTGAAGCATTTTGGATTCAGATTAGGGCTGCTTAATTGGGTACAACTGCAAATATTTCAACATCCAAAAAATCCAAAATCCAAAACACTTCTGGTCCCAAGCATTTCAGATAAGGGATACTCAATTTGTACATTCTATTAAAATAACAAAGATGAACCTTGAAAATATTATGATGAAAGAAAGAAGCCACTGTATTAGATATTAGATTCTGTTTATATGAAAATCCAGAATAGGCAAATGTATGGAGACAAAAATAGATTCATAGTTACTTAGAGGTGGGGAGTTTAGGGGAGAAAATGGGAAGTGACTGCTAATGGGTACAGGATTTCTTTTGGGGGGCAATGAAAATGTCCTAAAATTGATTGTGGTGATGGTTGTACAACTCTGTGAATACACTAAAAACCACTGAATTGAATTATACAGTACATGAGTTATATCTCAATAAAACTTTTAGAATTTAATGCAAAACAAACCAATACAGACATAAAACTCTACATAAAACTTCTACAACAAATTTTTATTTGATTTTATATTTGGGGAAAAACAATGTATATATTTCTTAGATCATAATCATCAACTGGTACATATCATAACCATATATAGTATGGAATGTATGAAATAGATAGAGTCAAGAAGTATTGGTAAAATCATATTCGTGGAATCAATTCTACCAGGAAAAACAGACTTGAGAAGAAAGGGCTAATGTAATATCCTAAACTTACAATTATTAAAGAGTCAGCTTAGATGCTTTTATGAGACATACTA